ATCCAGCAGGCTCCAAACCGATATCTAACAAATTTCGCCCAAAACCAGCGTATAGGGGTATCATATTTACCGGACGTAAAAATACTGAGCATGTAAAATCAATGATAAAGCTCGAAAACTAAAATATCGATCACAAAAGCGCAAACCCGAACCTACAGTAATTGCAATTAATATATACTTATAGCGTTTCATCTCTTTTGGCGAAAATTTATAGAGACAAAACATCGCGGCCCCATTGATGATGCAAATAGGGAAGATGTTTACGGTAAAGAATATATCAAGGTATTCCGGCGTTTCCGTCTCTAGTTTTGGACAGCTCATGGGAATAATGAGAAATTATCTAGCACTATAGAACTTTGTTCGATAGAGCCTTCTTAACAAAATATAGACATGTGAAACAACGCGTGCCCGGACGGTCAACATTGCACGATAGCAGGTGATTTCGCCATTTTCCGAGCAACCTGTGTAGGACGTAAATTATAATTTTACTTTTGGAAAGTTACTGGGTAACAAATGCTCGAGGGGTCAGGTGAAGACGGAAAATTCGTTGATCAATGGGAGCACTTATCCAAACCCGTAATTACAGCTTCTTCCCTGTCTCGAATGTGCTTTTTTCTGCAATTGAATTATAGAGATGGCGAGAATGAACGCTTTGGCTTCATCAAATTCATTGTGATGTGTGAGCTTTGGTGAGATTGGAAAGAAAAAGTGCGGTATTACACCATGTAGATTAATAAAAAAGAATATAGCATCAAATTGTATAAAAAACATTAGATGAGCAAAACCTTATACCTTTAACTTTTCGGAGGCGAAAACAGGAGCAAAAAGTTTATGACCGCATTACCATCATGAGTTCAAATCCCCTGGGCTTGATTTTTGCACCTAGATCTCGATTTTCGGCAAAATAAGCATTTTTCATTTGTAAAAATTCCTTTATTCGACAGGTCGACTAGATATTGTAGGGTCGATCTGACTTTGATGGCTTTGGATCAGCTGTAGACCCAGGAACTTGGCGATCCCCTTTCGTAATGACGTGATTGTACCCATCATTAAAGCGGCAGAAAGGCTTGAATGGAAAGTGTAGACGACAAGGAAAATGTGGAATAGTCCTAAAATATTAAAATAAAAAGATATTTTTGGTACCCTGCACGTTCGGGGTCTCCAGCTGCACACAAATCATTGCAACCAGCGTTGGTAACGCATAGCATATACCAGATAGACCAGTCTGCAAATATTGAGTTTTTTTGCTTTTATATGATACCTAAAGTCACCTGTATTTCTCGGAAAAGAGGATTCTAAATAATTTTGCTTCCAAAACGTGCCAATTTGGGAACAATCAAAAGGCCAATATTTCACCTGAACAATCAAGCCCCATGTCAGCTGCCGATTCATTCGCCGCGTTTTTATACTCATCCGAGCAAGGAGTTCTCTGAACCATGGAATCACCCAAAAATACAAAACCTACGGATGGTTGAGTTGCCAAAATATTCGGCCTAGCGAATAGCCAAGGACGGCAACGTTAAGGGCAAATAAAACATTGAAGAAATTCATTAATTGTTCAGATTTGGCTCCTCGAGGTCGAGGACGGCGATAAGATTATAACGAAAAGCTGGGAAGGCATCGGGACATGTCTTAATCTGTCTCTTGAAAAGGGGAAATCTTTGGTGTTACCCGATTCACAGTTGCTTCCATTTGTGTGCGGCTTTAGCAAAGAAGAAGGTGTTAACGGGCATTGCAATGACAAATTCAGCAAGGCCAAGTATGGTTACTCGGTATGGCCCTTCGAAAATCCAATGTCTAGAAAAATTTTTAATAAATCTTGCTTTAAAGATTTCGAAAAGGAATTTCACGATAACACACCCGATCGTCAGACTACAGTAGCGAAAATAAAATCCGAAAACCGTAAATGAAGTAGTACCCGTAGTTGCGAAGATGGCAAGCCACTAAAAAGTTTTGGAACGTAAAAGCAAAAACCCAAAACTACCATTTGCCAAAACCCATTTCCTGGTGGGAAATTAAGGCCGATAACGTCTTCTCCAAATCCACCGGCCAGGGGGACGAGATTTACTGGGCGTAACGTTGCACAGATAACAAAGTCGACTAAGAAGCTTGAAACCTAGAAGCGGGATGCATTGGCAAGTATGGTAGATAAGCTTTCTGATTGGTGCTGCTTAATAAAATTTAGTATCAGAATTTTGCAATTTCAGAATCTCGCATTTTCATAATCTCGTATTTTGTTAATTTCGCATTTCCTATGGCCTAACTGCATTTCCGGAGCTACCCTAGATTCCCGAAAAACCCTGAAATTGTGAGATTCTAAAATTGCGCGATTATGAAAATGCGCGATTATGATAATTCGAGATTATGAAAGATTCCCGTTTAATAAACCACGAATTAAATCGGTACTACCATTTTCAAGCCCAACATACCGTAATCGCTATTAAAATATATTTATATGCTCGCATTTCCTTTGGTGCATAGTTGTGAAGGGCGAGGGAGGGCCGACATATTAACCAGGATTACAATAACAAGATTGATATTGTAGAAGAAATATAATCCGCGTGGGACTTCCAGTGACAAGCCGTTGCAGTCCATACTAAACAAAAATCTACAGTTTCTGAAGGAGGGATTGTTTCCTTAAACCATTCGACCGAGGTGGAGACAGGTGCTTCTGGAATTCCGTCAGCAAGAAGATCGATGAACTAGCTATAATGAGGTGTAAATCAGGCTCGCTACAAAATTAGTGCATCTAGGATATGGAGCTTGCACATGTGAGTTTGGTCTTTGGCCTTATCAGTTACCAAGCTCCGGTACAATGCCGATTCGTGGCAGCACCTGAATTTCATTTTCTAATGCCAATTTTTTTGCAAACTTTCCCCAAAATACGTTTGTCTGCCAGGGTGTTGCCGACCAATGGCAAAACTCTTCTCCGCAAAGGTCTCCTACCCTTTTGTGGCAAAAGAAAATTGGGCTCATCCTCGGCAATGACACCCCTCGACAGAACTTTCCCTCCTCCGACATTCATCCATCCCTTTTCATATCCACCTACCTGCCGCCGGTGCCCGGAAACCGGAACGCACTTTGTAGACGTTGTCGGCAATGGGTGGTTACAGACTGTACTTTCAAGGATGGCATTTGAGCTTGAGCAAGGGTTGCTTTTCGGGCTCGATAGAACTGTTGCTCCATTACTACCACTACCACCTCACTACCATTTTATTCTTCATTAAAACATTAACCTAACGCGACCCCTAAGCTTCAGCCTCAGGAAATCATAAGCTATTCAGGATATTGGTATTAAAGATGTTGCGAATATAACAAAAACGCTACGGATTTTTTCATTTTTTCAATCTGGCATCTCTCTAAACCATAACTCGTCTGTGTATATATGCTAATTAAAAACTTGAATAAAATTCCGTTACCAACATTTCCTTGTATCTCCCCAGAAGCCGATAAGCCTGTAATTCCATGGTACATCCATATGGACGAGTGGAACATCTCATGTTTTTGTCACTAGAAAGTTCGCGTGAAAATGGATGAGAGGATCGGATCGTCTGCTCAGAAGCGATCGTCCAGCAGCGGGGCTCAATTATGGCCTTTTGACGAGGATCGCCGCAAAGTGCTATTTCGCACCGCCACCCATCTTACTTCTCAACCACGACAGGGGGAGGGGGAGAAGAGCCGGCTTCATCCCCTCTCCCCCACCCACCGCCGCTTTTTCTTGAATACTTTTAGTTGACCGGCGGCGCCCGGAAAAGGCGATCCATTTGAGGGGGGCATTTCACCCATTTCAAGCCGCGCTCCAATGGCACACACAGGCAAATTGAGCTGGTCCGGCTTTTCGTGCCATATGGAAAAGGCAACTTTTCTTTTTGGGCTAAGTATCTCTAGTTGAGGATATTGCTGGCTTGAATTCGAAAGTCTTGTGGATTACTCTACTTCTAGACTCGGCTTTCCATTTTTATACCTTTCTTTTCCTACATTATCGAATTTCTGAAAATTATCAACTGATTGACCATATCCCTTTCATTTTTTCGATTTCTTAAAACCTTTCCTTAAGACACATTTTAGTCTGGCCAATGTTATGCACGTTTCGACAGCGGTTACGGTAGTTTTATTGTCATCATGGAGCCGCCTAGCCGAAATGGCTTTAATGGAAAATGGGATCGTCGGTCTGTCTCCATGCCATGCTCATAAAATCTAAATTTCCAGGTCAACCGGTGGTCACTTGTGGCAACAATTTGATCTCCGTTGCTTTTAACACCAAGGCTGCATTTGCCGGATCTGTTTATGCCAAAGGATTTTATTCCAAGGTAAGAAACTTGGTATAAAGGTGGCAAAACTGTCAATTTGAGGAGGAATGTCGCGTGCGCGGTTCGAATACTCTCGAGTGTTAAGATGGAGGTGCCAGTCAATTTTGAATGCGGAATGCGACGGAAAAGAGTGGTGTGTTAGGTTTACAGATACGCAAAAAGTTCATACTCTCCTATATTGTTAATGTTATTTTCAGGTATCTCCAAACCGGGGTTAGTCCTCGAAGCCGTCGTCGTTATTATGTTTCATCCGCTATTTTTGACAAGAATTGACCGTTCATTCCGAGTACAGTGCATGTATATGGAAGCTGATCGTCTGTTTACGCAACGGCTTGATGTCCAGTATGTCGAACATCATCATAAATCTACCGATTGGAAATCCGAAACCTTCACGAATTTTCAGCACGCTACCTCCAACCGATCTCCCGGGTCCAGTCAATGATGTCAAAATGCCAGTGTGTCAATACGAGGAAGATGCACTTTGATCTTTCGCAAGATTGTCGCTACTGATTTAATTCTAAAATTGCCTAAACAAATAAATTGCAGGTGCTAAAAGGTGGTCCAACGGGGAGCGGAATAAAATATGCAAGCATTGGCGAGGCGGTCTACCACAAATGGAGTTGCCAGGGAGCGCAGCCTGGGATCTATTGTATGACCGTACACTCTTGTACTGCCGATGATGGTCAAGGCATGGGGCAACAATTGTTGGATGCAAATGGGTTCGTAAGCATCGCTAGAAACCAGAAAACGCAGACCTGAAATTTAGGCGCATATTAAATATCCATTTTAGGTGCACCCAGGACCATTTTCTTCTGAATAACCTCAATTATCTGGACGATATGTCGGTATGAATCTAATTCTGGTTTTCTGGACAATAATAAATTTAGGCGGGCCAAGAAGCTCAAGTATTTAAATTTGCCGATCGCCAAACAATATTCTTTGGTTGTCAAATAAGATTGGAGCTCAAGGAAGAGTTGGGCGGAAGTTGTCAGGTAGGACGGCTGAAGGTTTTTGCTTTCAAGGGCAAGTTTTAGAGAAACCCTTGTCTTGGCTCTGACGATGCCGGAAATTCGCATCCCGTGGAATCACACAATCGACAACCCGAGTCTTCTTCACGTCTCCCACAAAGCCAATCCTCTACCGGAACTGCTAATTCGAAAGCTTATTATCGTTCTACAACTTCTGACCCATCAACGATTGAGTCCACGGTGAATTTAAAAAGAATTTATTTACGTTTGCTGCATAGACAAGTACTGAAGATGGTAATTCATATGGTGGAATTGAAAGCTCTGCTGATTATGATCAACCAGAAGATACTAGATCCAGTACTAAACCTCCACAAAAGAGACCGAGAGGCCCCGGAATTGCTTCAGTGGTATGAATCAATAAAAACAGGGATGAGCTGAGCTTTAGACACCAATCCTTACCGGCCCTTACGTGGAAGTTACCCCGCCATCGATCCCAAATCGAAAAGAAATTAGTCTAAATTTCAAGAGAACGAAGTCATATACGACTACAGCCTCTTATGGGGAAGATGAAGAGGTAGAAGTGGAAGTGAATGGGAATATTGTGGAAGAGCGTGGCGGATACAGGTTTGTGTAGGGGTCTTTTAGAAAGAATTATCTTTTAGACATCGGAGACGACGAAGTACAGCAAATGACGGTCAGGCGGGAAAAGAAAAGGAGTCTAAGAAGCGGTTCCAAGTGGATATGGATGTGATGGGGTCTGTGGAAGTGCTGGATTCGGTACCAACCGAAGCCCAAGAAAGCGATAGTTTATCGTTGGATTCTGGTTTTGATAGGGCGACACGAGAAAAGGTAGAGAAATACAAAATTTTCATTAGACCGAATTACCAATTGCGCAAACCACCTCTTTTATTTTTTAGGTCTGCCTTCCAAAATCACTATTCTACGTCCTAACCCTACTAACCATCATCGTGTTTCTCCTGGCCACAATATTCCTCTGCCTGGTCCAGCGTCGCCGTGCCCATGGTCTACTCCAAAAACACTCCAATATCAATGCTTTCATCCAGTCCAAACAGGTCGAATAAATATTTATTTATTTTTCTATCTTCTACGCCCTCTACTTTTACCTATGTAAACGTAATGGCCACGGAATTTTTTTTGGCACAATTTGCGAGCCGCTTTTGGGGTGGCAGTTGGGGAGGGTAGAGTGGCGAGTCCATTGTTTATATTCGAGCACACACTGGGTCCTCAGGGCCACTTCACAGCCGCCCCGGGGGCCCTTCATCTTCCACTTTCGGACCCAGCCTAAAAGGGCAACGGCTTCCCGGCCGTAATTAGTACTATTCCGTACCTGTTTCTTTGTTTTTATTGACAATATGTTGTGTTAGGGTGGGTTGGTCGGAGAATTAATGTAGGTGAAATAGCTTCGCGGTTTTTCAAGTTTGGAGGCAACTGGAATCTAAATTTGAATATTGGAAACAACAACTTTTCAAAATGATTCATAATTTGGCCGTCATTTAGGTTTAATTATAAGTAATTTTTTCCTCAATTTCCATTACTAAAATTTGGAAATTACGACAATAAAATCGAAAACACACTTTTTGCAAATGTAGCGTAATAATATTTTTCCTGTTTCTGCTTTCAAAATATTCCTAAAAACATGAAGAAAACCCAATGGCCAAAGCCGCACCTTTCCCATGGCCCACATGAATCAAGTGGCGGCAACAAATCGACGACAGGCGTGTATGCGTCTTTCCACCACTCGATGCCCCCAATGGGTCCCGCAACGATTTGAGAAAAGGCCCGAAGGGGGTAGAGAGGTGAATGAGGGTGATGGATGAGCGCAACATCTGAACAGATCCCTTTCTTTTCAACCCCGTTGCCTCGATCTAATCGGACAGGTGGCCCTATCCCTTTAGCAATACGGGCGTAGGGCATGGTCTTTGTCAAACGATTATCGCCTCGTTGGATTTTATGTATTTTTTATTTTGATAACCAGCGCCCAAAACCCGCTTCGCGGGCCTTGGGCGCTGGAATGCTGTCTTTGCATCAGAAATTCGTCTTTGGATAACTCGGGTCCTCGGACCCCTCCCCCGACCACACGCGCGCGTGCAATTCGCAAGAATGAGGAAATTTGTATTTTTTCGCATTATGCAAATTAGCCCTCAGGTACCCCCAAAATGAATAAAACCGGCTTTAACTTTGTAAACTTGTATTTTATCGTAATTCTGGAGAACGCCATCCGAAACAGGAGGGTCGATTACCCCAAGTGACGGAAAATTAGAGTCTTTTATTCACGGGAAGTCCCTCAAATCGAGACTCGAAAGTGACATCCGCACACACACACACACAAAGATACGCGACCAAATTATATAAGGTAGGATTAGTTGTTTGGAGTAGCTTATCGTCTAGCTTATCTCTAGTCCCAATATTTCCTAAAGGATGCCTTAAAAGGATCTGCTATCAGAATGCCGAAATCAATTTTGTCGAGAGTTCAAAACGCCGAAATTCCAGTTTGTCGAAAATCAAAACGCCGAAATCTCGCTATGTGAAAATGTGGAATTTAGTGACTGAAAAGTAGTAAAGCCGTTATTTAAATTTCGGCAAATAAAACTCCTACTGAAAAGCCCCAAATTAGCCAACCTGCCCGTACGTTTCAAAATACTACTGTTCCATCTCCCATTTCCATACCTCGACCCACCTAACCAAATTTCCCCCAGATTTCGCTACCCACTACCGTACCCCAGACTCCCGGGCCCAAATCCAGTGGGACCTGTGCGAATCGAATCACCGGAAGCTTGGTAGGGGGGCACAGATACAAGCCCGGGATAGAAGGGGTGGATCTTGAACCCATTTGCTTAGGTGCTTCTCGGATGGCGCCGCATTAGGGCCATTAGGGGGGCCCTAGAATGGAAAAGGGGGGGAAGGAAGGAAAGGAAGGAGGGCCAACAAAAGGACCTCCAAACACTGGACCCCATCACTCACTTCCACTACCCATCTACATACACATTGTTTCTTCACAATTCGGCTACAGGGATTGAAATTCTACCGTGGTACCCGTGCCAAGTGCTATAGGTATTCCTTGGGTTACTGTAAAATCGACGGCAATCGTGAGGATATTTAGGTAAGCTGTGGATGAAATTAAAAGGCGCCAGAAAGTCAGGGAATACGGTATTAACACGGATATTAGAATAAACAGAATCCTGCTATGTCAAAAAGTGGTTGTTGGAGCTTTTAAATTTTTACATAGACTGAGTTCAACTCCAACTTTAATCGAGGAAGAATTAAGGGTTAGTTTGATCTGTCATTAGGGCGGTCATAGCCTCGATGTTCGAAAGTGGAGGTAGCCTCGCGCGCCCCTCGAACCCCGCGAAGCGGTTTACCGGTCCCTATTTCTTACCCTGTCCGACTGATTTCAATCGCCCCTCACACAACAACCTCTATTCAAATGTGCCAGAATCCGTATATCTATCCATCCTAATAGATCTTTTGTACCCGAAGCCACCTCAAAATTGATATGCAACCCGCTTCACCCCCGCAGAAGAATTGTTGAAGTGGCCCCAGGGGTCAGCGACCCGGTTAGATTTATGCATTTCGGCACCGGCTTTGCCTTCTCCTGTCTTTCCCCGCTCCCCTTTAATGAAATGCGCCTCCCGGGAGTCTCAACTGGAAGGAAGAGGGTTGGGGGCTGGTGGGCCGGCTGCTAGGATGAGGAATTGTTTTTGGACATGGGCTCTCGGATCCCCAGATGTACCGCATTCACTACCACCACCACCACTACCCGCACAATTCTCGATGACAAATCCCCTTTTTGGGCACATCGAAAATACGCGCATTTCCATCCAATTTCGGGCGGCTATAGTCGCAATTCTTGGTAGGAGATTGGGTACAGTAGCTTCGCAATGTAGCCATGTTTGTGAAGCTTTTATAAATAATATAAGCTTAAATCCAATCAAATTCATCTTAAAATTGTGTATAAAAGTTTAGCAGAATTTTTGATGACTAAACAAACTTAAAACAACTCCAATTCGTCATAAATTTTCTCCGAGTCTCCAGCGTTTTTCAAACAATAAAACCGCATTTTCATTTTATCATCATCTCTTACTCTTTTGCTCAGAAAAATGCATGCAAATGAAGATTGCGTCTAGCTGCCCCCATAAATCTGTACCGCAATTTCCTTGGGCCTTGATTTTTGGGCATTAGCTATAACATACGCACCTCCCCTGAAAAATATACATCAACAATTGTCTGCTGTCCATAATTTCTCCACATTTTCCTACTTTCTGACCAAAAGTACAATTTCTTTATTTTCCATCCGTCAGCCGACATTTTTTCCGAATTTCCCCGAAAAACGCGGGGATTAATTTGATGGGCATTCATAGGTGTGTAGCGTCCATAGCATAATCCTGAAGAACCCAAAATGGCGCACACCCAGCCGGCCCTCCCTTCCAGCTTCCAGCTCCTTCAAAAGGGCACACATTATTTGTGAGGGGCCCGGCCAGCTTTCTGGTTTCGCCGTGTGGGGAGACCCTTTTGGCGGGTCGGGTTATAGAGCGGGGCATTAAAGCCTCATATTTTGCGCTTTTCCCCCCTTTATTCCATCCAGCACACCTCAACGCGTTGCCCCTATAAAGGGCCGGTTGAAATGCTAATTGGGGCCACGGGTTTGAACCGGGCTGTCCGATTTGTTTTGGCTCAAATTGAAGGTACGCCATTAGTGCGTCATGGAAACGGTTCAGGGCGTGCATAGTATTTTTAAATGCGCCAAAGTTTACCTTGATTTTTCACAATATTACGCTTAACTTTTAGGTACCAATTAATTTTTGAAAGGCTTGTGATTCGGAACTTTACTTTAAACGGTATCTGAATCTTGTTGAGATCTTTGCTACCATAAATAGATGTTTTAAACTTCTATATATGCTAAATTAATTTTAATGCGCATTCCGCTAATTTATTCAAGACAAGCCTTGACTCCCGAGATCTCAATGGGCGATCCGGAAATGCGGCACCCATTCCGGGCCACTGCCCTTTACATTACGCGTTCGTCGAGGCTAGGTACTAGCTTTAGCACCTCCTTAGCTAGCTGTCATTAGCAGTCAAGCGTGGGCAAAATGTTTATTAAGGTTTTGCATTATTACTGCTTACTATCAGCATAATCTCGGATTTTCCTAATCTCACAATTTTGAAAGCGAGAATTCGGGCTTTTTGAGTAGTTCACATTCTAATTTTTGGTACTTCAACGGTTTTCGATCGCTAATTTTTACTACTACCCAGTGCACATTTACAAAATTAAACATTTTAAACATTTTTGGCCAGTTCCAGGTTGTCTAGATCCCCATAAAAAAGTCGCGTAATCGGATCGGATGCGCCGCGTTGTGAGTCGGACCCTTTTTTTCGGGCGAGCGGTATGAGTAGAGGAGAGGGGTCGACAACTGGAGCGCCAATTGAATCCGGAGGGCATTTGGTGTGGGGTGTATGTATTGTGTGTGAAGGATGTGCGTGTGTGTTGCCTCAGGCAATGCCAAGCAAGCACAATGTCCGCGAGGCTGCTGTGGCTGCTGGCCCGTTTACCTAACGAGAAGCGACGAAATCTCGGGCTCGGTGTGGGTGTGTGAGCCTGAAACGGGTGAAAAGCGGGGGATGCCCCCGTCAAATTGATTCCCTTCGGCGACTGGCTCACGGACAGAAGTAGCTATACCTAAAAACAGCTGATCTATCTCTGACTTCACAGCTCCTTGAATCTACTCAAATATAATAGTTTTTACAGCTGCCCTTAACACATTAAGGATTACAAGAGACAATTTAAAAAACAAAACCAATTTATTTAGCAAAAACATCTGATCTGAAGCTATTCGTAATTTTACTAATCCTAGAAATTTTTATTCGAATAACGTATGAACGTCATATAACCTCAAAGATTCCTCTAATTTCACCTCTAAGCCCAAATTTGC